ATAATTTAAAATATTCAAAGTCTTAGATAATAAATCACTCATTAATCAGCTGCTTTATTAAAAACTTGTTTATTCTTGAGTTATTGGTTGGATTGCAACTTTTTCTCTTGCCTGAGTAAAAATAGAAGTATGTGTTATGCCTATTGGAGTAAATGTTTTGGATAAATTAAGAAATTCTCCTTTCTATCTCTTCTTTCTTTCATCTTTTCCCCTTTTTTTCTTTTTTCCTTTTTCTTCTTCTGTTTTTCTGCTCTATTTACGTTGCAGTGTCCATATAAACTGTAAAAATCCCTGCATAATTATAATACAGCAATTTATATGCATGAAACAAGTGGAGCAATATGGCAATTGACATACTGCTACACTGGCATCAAGACAATTATTCTTATTGCCACATTGCCAGACAGGACACTGTTAAAAACAAGAAAAAAAAAGACATTTAAAAATAAAATCTTTAACTATGCAGCTTAATCCAAACACTCCATTGCACTTTAATACATATTAGTGACATCATTTTTACAGCTTTTTTTATTGTCATTACATTGTCGCAAGTACAGAGCAAAGAATTGAACTCTGAATTTAACCCATCCCCCTTGGGGAGCAGCGGGCTGCCATTTGCGGCGCCCTGGGAGCAGTGTGGGCTCTAAGGTTTTTGCTCAGAGTGGCAGTCTGTGGGAGTGGAGCTCGGACTCAGAACCTCAGGATTCCAAGCTCTATGCCCTAACCACTGAGCCGCTACACCCCCACTACTGTACTTTTAACATTTTGTAAGCTTAGCACCTGATAGTTGTAATATCATTAATGCACCTAGAGAGAATATCAGACTAAACTTGTTTTCTCTTTATTTGTCATTTCTGTTTAATATTTTGTAAATCTCATGGACATGAGTTTAGACTATTTTCCATAGGTTTTGTTGATGACAATTATCATTGTTTAATTTTATGCACTTAAAACAATGATGATCAATGTTGTTTTTTCTATGTGAAAAAGAGGGTTTTTCTTATTTAACTTGCTTATGAAGGTATGTAAGCTGTTATTCTCTCCAAGTCTTTAGACCGTCCTTGGCTAAATGTAATATATAACCACAGCCGAGTCATTAATCCACTTATCCTGGATGTTTTACTGACATTTCTATCTTTTTTTTCACTTTCAGGCCTTTGTGAAGTGCCACTTTGATTATGACCCCACTCACGATAACCTGATTCCATGCAAGGAGGCGGGCCTCAGCTTCACAAGTGGAGACATTTTGCAGATCTTCAACCAGGAAGACCTAAACTGGTGGCAGGTGAGTTCAGCTCCCATCTGATACGGCTCATTATTTATTCCTCTGAAGCTCTAGCTGTGTTCCTGTTTCCCTCCCAGGCCTGTCATATAGAGGGAGGCAGCGCAGGACTCATTCCCAGCCAGCTTCTTGAGGAGAAGAGGAAAGCTTTTGTGAAGCGGGATATGGAGCTTGCCACCTCAGGTAGTCCTCACTTTATGGAGGCTTCTCAAAAGCTCCTGGCTGCACATTCATCATAACACATCTGTTCATTTCATCTGGTTTAACGTTCTTTGCTGATCACAGAAAAGCCATCATAAGGGCAGAGGTGCCCCCATGCAGTCTGCTGGTTATTAAGCAGAAGGGTCTGACATTCACAAAATATTTTCTCCAAGATGGAGAATTGATTTGGAAGAGGTGATATGAGCCCTGCAAACAAAAGCTTGATCAATATGGATCTCTGCACACAGCAAACCTGCAGGGGGAGGAGGCCTCCTGCGTTTAGATCAGCAGCATAACGAGTCCTCAGGTGCAAACAAGGCAGGTGGTGAGTCATAGCAGGTCGCATGCCCTTCGCTTGCGGAGGACGGTGACAACCTGACAGTTCTGTCCTCTGAGCCAGAGAAGGACACATCTGTCTCTTCCTGTTATGCCGAGATACTGTCCGAATCCAAATGTTGGAGCAGAGAACCTCTTCTTGTCGCACACTAGATCAGATCACATGGTCCTTCTATTGCTCTTTTAACTGTTAAAAGCAGAAATTGAGCCTTAATTTAATCCACTGACCACAGCGTCTGCCATGCTGAACAGAAGGTTAACAGATTGCCAAGTCACAGGTTCTTCCTGGCACCAGTTTGAGATGCAAGTTCTGATAAGTTCTGTTGAACAGCGCCATCTAGTGGTTTAGTATGCACATGACCTGAGTTTTCCATGATTTTATCATCATTTCAACATGGATTTTGTTCAGAGGGCTAGAATTGTAGGTGTAAGATATTTTTTTTCCCATTTAAGGTCCTTTGTGTGGAGGAATGGGGGGCAAGAAGAAAAAAAAGATGATGTATTTAACCACCAAGAATGCAGGTAAAAGAACGGGAAGCATAACATCTCTTTACAGATGTATCTAAAAACACTACGTCATTGTTTATATTCTGAACTTTTTTTATTCATTTTTTTATTTTCAGAGTTTGATCGACATGAGCTGCGGATCTATGAAGAGGTTGCCAAAGTCCCTCCCTTCAGGAGGAAGACACTGGTTCTGATTGGTGCACAGGGGGTGGGCCGACGCAGTCTGAAGAACAAACTGCTTGTGTCGGATCCCCATCGTTACGGGACCACCATACCCTGTCAGTTTACTCATTAAAAACTATCCTATTGTGAAATTTATCCTCAACCTTTTAAGTTTTTCTTTATTTTGCAGTGCCTCACAAGGCCAGGAATTAGTTAGATTACAGCAAACAACAGAATATTTTGTGGGATTTGTTATATTTGATTTTGAACCCTTTTTCAAATGTCTAATTTTCAGATTGAGTTTTACGTGTTGCATTCTTTTCCTAATATAAAATGTGATCAAATAAAATATTAGAAAAAATTATGATAACTTGAAAAATAAATCTGAGAAAATGATGTGATTCATCTTGAAGATTTTTGATGTATAACTTTTTCAAAGTTTCATTCTGGATTGAATTTTCTTTGCTTGCAACCAGGCTTGGACTGGGAACGATTTTTGGCATTTTTCCATCTACACGCTAGCCTGACGTAGTCCTACTTAATTCTAGTCAGAATATGAGTCTGATGCTGCTCCATAGAGCTGTGATTATGGGGCG